TAAGGTTAGTTCATGACATTTAAAGATAACCGTGTTCCAGCATCATGTTGTTTTTCTCACGTTTTTCTTTCCAGTCATCCATTCGCTCTGTTTATCTTTAGCTTCTCATTTTTTTGGTTTTGTGATCGATCAGCAAATTTTCTTTCCTTTTAGATGAAATACTTCCCATTTCATCGTACTGAGCTTGGACTTTCTTTCCATCTGTTTACATGTTACATCCAGATTTACTATTTAGAGGCTAAATCGTTGCTACACTCTCCCAGGTCGCGCTATAAAACTAGTGTTCCACACTGCATTGAGCTGCCAGATGGATGCACATTTACATCTCAGATCTATAACTTAACATATTCTCCTTTTTTTCTTGAGATATTTTGTTGCGCAGTGCGTCAAAAGTTGACGTCCTCCCACGGGCCATGTTCAAAGGCCTTAAATGCATGACGCGTGACGTTATTGAAGTTTTGAAAGGGTTACGGAAGCAATAGCGCTTTCCATCTTTGAATAGCTGTTGAAGAAGATTGCTGCGTCGTAATAGAAACTTAAGATAGATTTTTGTTAGTTTTCGATTGTCTATGCTTCTAATCTAATTGTAGATCCGCGCTGCTTCCTATCACCACTGACTACTTTCCTGATGGTTTGACTCTTCTTAAAGACTATCTGTACACGGAACATCAAATTTCTGTTGTTAATGAGCATGTGGGTTGCTCTGTGCTTTGATATCAGCTTTTTCTATATCGTTGGTTAATGTATCGCACTTATTTAGGGCTCACGCGCAAAAATGGACATTAATCAGCTGTCGAGATTGGTTTTTGATCAGTTGATTTGTCAAAGGCTTCAGCGCGGTTTCCAGATCATCTTGATGTCAAAGCCGCTCATTCACGTGAGTCATTAAGTGCTCTGTGTAATTTGGTCATCAATACTCCAAGGAAAGTTATACTTATTCAAGCTGTCGCTTACAAAATTCTAAACATGTTGAAGATCTTAGTTTTGAATTTTCGGTCAGATCGACAATATCTCAGGATTACGTTTTTCGTGGTTTTTGTCGGGATTACAGCATTTTTACTTGCTTTTTTCGCAACATTACCCTTTCTACAAATCTAGTATCGCAACATTTCCTATTTTTTCTCAATTTTTTTCAACATAATGCTTAAAACAATATTTATGTAATTTTATAACGCTTAGGTTGCCATAAAGCAGAGTTTGTTCACTCCTATCAATACAGAACAAACAGAATGCAGTATGTCGTTTAATAAGGTGAGCCTTCTAAAGCTATTTTCATTCAAAATCTGCCGAATTTTGGAATTTCGCGATTTGTCTTGTTTCAGATTGTCCATCGACTCGTACTTGTTGGCTCTGATATCACGGTGACGGTGTTTTACCCAAAACGAAATCGCGAAACAGAATCAAGCCCGCCACCGTGTATGCAGCCGTACTCGTACTTCTTCCAGGTACCCGTCTACCCCAACAGTCAGCTCGTTCCAGGCCAGGTACAGTCCGACGTTCCACCCAGTCTTTCATCT